TAATCGAGTCATGGGTTTGAAGCGTAGGGAGAGGAAGATTCCCAGGCACTGGAACGTGCATGTGCATGGCCATGGGCATCATCTGCTCGAAATCCTCGAATATGGCGTAATCGAGGAGCCTAGTTTCAGACAGCCAAACTGTGATTTTGATGTTTAGCCACGGCCAATTGACAAGCGGGTAGGAAAAAGGGGGGCAGAATGTAGGTCAGGAGCCCTACAAACGGTTTCTGGTACCGTTTACGCTTCAGTAAACTCACTTGCTTGTAGCGGCACACTCTTAGACGACATTGGAGGAAACGAGAACACAGAATTGTATGAATTAGCGGATGGGTCATATGAAGGGGAGCTGAGAGAAAGAGAGAGATGCAGCAATAGAGAGTAGAACAAAAAATAGAGGCGAGGAGGGATGCCACAACGGTCGAACAGAAAATTGGTCAAGGAGATCGCCTTCACTTGATACTTTGATAAGTTGTAATTCTTTCCTCACAATGGCACCTCCCACTGACGATGCCGGCGAAACGTTTGGGAATGTACCCAGCCAATGGTTCAATGTAGGAAATCACAAATTCTCTGGCAGAGGACACGGGACTAGGTACGTTCCACAACAACCAAGTTGCGAAACCAAGGTCGAACCAACACAATCCACTATTCACTTTAAATATGCCCTCATAGTGCCTCAGAAACGTTTACTAAATTTTCATAAATAAGAGCTACAGTTGCCATAGGTCGCTCAAAGTGAGGAAGGAGACAGTGATTGTTCCCACAATGGTATGAGTAAGCCTAAAGTTTCTATTTAATTTCACATTAACCTAGCTTATGTCTCATTTGAACCTTCATCTGGACTCGAGCTCAAGTAATGCACGAAATTTGGTGAAAACGACTCTTACATCAGATCAACTGGTAGTCTCGAAAACCCACTTTGTAACGAAAACTAGGTAGAGTAGTCGATTGTAGTAGCAAATACAACTTACTTAATCGACAATCCTACCAGGGAAATGTGATGTGGGAAAGGCCTTGGCTTCCTTAAAATACACTTATTCCCTGTCATCGAAGGACACTCATGACAGTGTGGTGTAGTGGCTAATGTGTCAAGACTGTACGCTGCACTACCACAATCCGGGTTCGAGTCCCACTTGGGGGTGCTGATGAGACTGCAGTCGACTCTAGCCTGATTGATAATACCTTTCTGGAAGATAGACTATGCGAAACCAAATATAAACGGGAGGGCTATTCATATAATTGTGGGAAAATTCAACTACCAGTTCTTCATCACCTTGAACGAAATAGGCCGAGTACAGCTCTTAAGAATTTCACTTAATCTAAAGCTCTTATTCAAGATCTTTTGATAGTCTCGTACTCCCACTTAATTGGAATAGAACCAATAATCTGTCTTAATGACTTTCAGTTGCCAGGACTGCTGTACATGAACAAAGTAATACCTCGAGGAAATTATATTTTGGTAACACGAAAGCCAGCCCAATTGTACGCTCTATAGGATTGATACCACTGACATTTACTTGAGCACCAGGATGGAATTCTGTGGCCAGCCTGCGTAGGTATGAGGCTCGCGAACCATAGGAACAAGCTTTGGATGACGCTTTCAGACAGGCGCCCAGAATCAACTCAAAGTGACTATTAATAATCTGCACTGCGAAAGTTGTGATTCAACAAATTTATGTGTTATCCTTCTTGTGACGACTGTCAAACAAGGGACTCCAAGATCGGTCCCACCAGACAATTGGTCTTAAGCCGTTGGGCTCGCTCACCTGATCGTGATCGCGGGCATCCCAGCTCCTGTTGCCCCATCTCTAAGATGGAGGTCTCCTTCTGCTTTATGGGAGACGTCTCGAAAGAAAGCGACTCAGTCCAGTCTCAACCAAGCATTATGACAAATATGAGATGTATTCAGCATACTTCGTCTATGGTGATGAAGGACTGGTAGTAGAATTTTCATACCATAATATGAGATGAGCTGACGTTTCCATTGAATTTCACATAGCCTCGCTTTCCCAAAAGTTGTTCTCATCCAGGGTGGACCGATGCGAGGTCGAAACTGCAGTCCACTGGTGCCTGGATATGAACAACTTTTGGAATAGCAAGGCGATGTGAAATTCAATGGAAGCGTCAGCTCAACTCATATCATTGTGGGGAAATTCTACTATCAATCCTTCGTCACCCTAGACGAAATATGGTGAATACATCTCATATTACTGATTTACTAGTAGTCTCGAAACTCTACTCTAATACGAAAATTATGACAAATAACTCGAGTTATACAGGATCGGTTAGGATGGTGCAAGGAAGGATAGTTGAAATTCTGACAACTATACATTCTAGTACCGCCACTAAAGTAGATCTACTCTCAAAAAATATGTAATCATAATACAATAATATATTCGATTGTAATAGAAACAGCAAATTCGTGTGAAAACAAAGAAATGGAAGAAGACAGGAAGGATTACTTTAAATTGTATGAAATCATCGACTCGTCATACTGCCACCCCGAGGAATGTGTCCTTAGCACTCTCCACATCGTCAAACACCAGCATTTACGATAAAAACGAGAAAGCGATTTTCGTAAATTTAGTGTAAATTAGAAATATGCTTTTGGCATTGTCTGTCACAGAACGGAGAGTCGTTAACAACATTTACAACTAAAATGTAAGGATCTCTTCCACTCGGCTTTTCAAACAAAATAAAAGCTACAGCATGGTATTGTCAATTGATTCTACGATGCCCAGATTCTTTTAATGGCTATAAGGTTATGGTATCGACAATACTCTCAAAATATAAACGTGACTTTGAAGAGGCCTTTCTTGACTTTGCAACTGAACTGGTGTGAAGGAGTCAGCCAGTTTAAACTATCGTTCAGCGTTGATGAGACCCAGGCAAGTCTGAGACTTTACTTCTTTTTGAATGAGAAAGCCTTATTGGAAAATATAAATGTCAAAGCTTAGGTCATTTCAAATGACACTTACTGACTCGGTTACTTATTATGGCATGAATTTTCATTCAGAAGTAAAAGTTGATTGGAGATAAATCGTAAATTTAGTCGCGTTGGAAGCTGAAAAAGGAGTGCTCTAGAAGGAAGATCGTTGGATTGTGCGAAGATGTCCTCGGCTCAACGTCCTGCGACTCCAATGAATCTGTGATAAGCTTTTGTCCGTCCTGCCGTGGCAGACATTGTCAGAGCGAGAAATCATGAAAAAAACACCAAACACAATAGGCCCCGAAATTGTGATGGCCCAGCTGCAGTACAACGAGAATTAGACGTCATCTTCTGATGAATTCGGCATGTGAACCTCTTCATCATGCACGTTCATTCAGAACGAGAGTCCCTCTAATAATAGCAATTCAGGAGAGTTAATCTTTTCTATCTACAATAACATTTACTTCTTATCTTAATGAGATATCATATTATTTGTTCTTCGTTCATAAATAGGATTTCGAGACTACCAGTGAATCAGTACTATGAGATGTGTTCACTCTATTTGGTTTAAGATAGAATAGAATTTTATCACAATGATATGAGTAGAGCTGACTTTTTCCAGTGATTTTCACATAGCCCTGTTTTACCAAATGTTGTTTTCCTCCAAACACAAGCGGACGGCAGTTTCGACCTCGCATAGGTCTTATCAGCACCGCCAGCGGGACTCGAGCCATGACAGTGCAGCGTGAAGTCTCGACAAGTTAAGCACTACGCGACATTGCCACGAGTGACCTTAGGTCAGAAGAAAGATGTGAATTTGAAGGAAGGCCAGGCATTTTCCCATGTCCTATTCTTTGTGGTGTTGTGTTCCTAAGAAGGATAAAACGCCTGGCCTGGACAACTCCAAAGATGGAGGCTCCGAAACGAAGAGAGTAAAGGAACAAATACTATCATCAAGTGTCCTATTTTGAAACAGCCGAATACAGTTTGTGGGAGCTGATAATAGGAAGACAATCATTGAAAGATGACGCCAAATATAACATTCTAAACCCCACGGGGCAGAGTGGGGTGGAGAAAGAGAAGGAAAAGAACAAGATGTTAGCTGGAAGTTGTTTGACCTTGTTTTCGCAACTTGGTCATATTGGTAGGAAGACTTAGGGGAACACACCCAGTCCGCAGTCCATTGTATGCATCATCATTTCCAGAGTAGGACCGTGGACGTGGTATATTCGCAGACGTTTCGCCGGCATCGTCAGTGCATATTGCCAGTCTTAGCATCACACAACAACTCGTCAAAGAGACAAGTGAAGTCGATCCTTTGACCAAATGTGTGCTTAAAAGATGTGGCATCTTCCCTTCTACCCTGAGTTATTCGCGTTTCCGGTACCATCCTATCACACCCTCACTGTCACAATGCTTTACAGGTTTAATAAAATTTGGTACGGTGTGCCCTTTTGAGCGGCTTTCATGAGAACCCTCCACACTCGACGCTG